TTAATGAGCTTGAAAGTTTAAGGATGCGTATGAATAGTTGTTTATACTTAATAAAATATAAGTTTCTTTTTAAAGTATAAGGATTTAAAATTTAATTAGAAATAATGAGCTTGAAAGTTGAAAAAACTTTATTTGAAAGTTGTATAATACATAAAAAAATTATAAGCCCATTATTTTATTGTATTTTACTAGCTGTTATTGTTCAAGTATTTTTATTAATTTAAAGCAAATTCATATTTACATCTATCAAAATAATTTTTTCTGTTCAAATTCATAACCGTAGCTCTAAAGTTGTATATTACGTAAAAATATATAAATAAATTTTATATATATATTTTACTAGTTGTTATTGTTCGAGTATTTATGAAAAGGGTTCATATTTACATCTTTTTTCAAGGTTTTGAAAGAAAGATGCTTGTTAAAAAACATTTATAGCTCTTATATATTACGCAAAGTATTACAGCACAGCCTCAAAGTAATAAGAATTCCAACAAATGGGGCGAAGAACAAACATTACAGCCTCCATAAAGTACAATTATCGCTGCGCCACCTGCAAAACGTTATAAATAAGTTATTTTTAGAACGAGGAGATTTAACCTGTATAAATATTTTTCTTTTACACAAAAGTAATAATAAAATTGGAATTGTCATTAAATTTTAAAATAAATAAATTAATAAATAAAAAAGGGGATTGCGTTAGCCAATTTAGTAAAAAGTCAGGTTGTCTTTGTATTTTTGAATTTAGACTATTTATTGTATTTCGAAAAAATAAATGACTGTTTTTAAAATAAGGGTAATTGCTAAAAAATTAAAGTAAAATTTTAGATATTTATTGCCAAACATTTCTTTTTTAACAGGATTGAAAAAATGCTTAAGATCTGCAAAATCGTACCGTACTGATCAGCCGAACCGTTTTCCATTTGTAATATTTAACCATAATTATATTTAATCATTTCATTTTAAAAATAAAACGGATTAAAATGTCTAACTAGTTACTCTTGAAATATTATTTTTTTTTCTTTTCAAGGTTTTTGAATTCCTGTTAATTCGACAAGTCATAAACTTTAGCACGTTCACATGCACCTTAATAAACTTGAAAGCATTCCCGTTTGATCATAAGAATGTGGAGAATTCTTGGCAGTTAAATAACAGATCACCGAAAGTTTCAAGACCAAGATAATAAATATATATAGTGATAATAGTGATAAAATTTTAAAAAGGCCGGAAACAAATGAAAAGTTTGATTTGCTACTTGAATTGTAGTCTATAGACTATATTAAAAAAGTAAGCTTAAATCTTAATTCGATAGAGCGGGTATTTACTTTAGAACAATTCCATTCAGATGATGAGTAATGCTCCTGGTATGACAAGATCGTTGGAATCACCACATATCACGGTGCATCCGATATCCTTCCTTAGTTTAATATAGTAATATTACTTTTGCATTACATTGAGGTCTATTGTTTCAAAATCATCCTTTGGTGAATAATCTTCTGGAACCATCGATCTCGTGAGGGTCAATGTCATAACTTAATTGAAGTTTAGAATCTTTAATTATTGTAATTCTGTCTAATATTTGAGAAGTATAAGATCTCTAAATTATTTTTTGAATTATTAATCAGTTTGCAAACTAAATGTCTTCTTTTTTTTGTGATTATATGGTATCAAACAGTTGGGTTTAAAATACCGATATTTTGTAACAAGACCATTCATCATAGGTTACCGATGCATTTAAGTTTGTTCTACATTTTTAAATAATTTGAATTTGAATATTTCGTTATAATAAGTAATGCAAGACGCAACGAATGATGATGAAATAATAAGAATTATTTATGTATGATTACATTAATCATTTATATAAAGTCGATCAATTTGAACGATAACGTCATATCTTACGATCATTCACTCATTTCTAATTGATTGTCTAGTTAATCTTTGTTTGAAAATAGCGTCTCTCTCCTATAGTTTATCACGTGCTCGTCAAAAATTTAATTGGCTAGCGATGAGGTGACCCAGTCTTTATTTATATTGGGTAAGTTCGGAAATGTTTCTTTTTATGGTTTAGATAATTTGCTTTATCGGATCGACATTACATAATATTGTCATCTTCTCGTCATGATATTCAACTCTTAACTATAATTATTTTATTTTGGTAGAATAAATCATAATCAATAATGATTTTCCTATAAACAATAAGATAATACGAATAATTAAATTCGTCTTTAAATAATGGTGACTAATAATTCGAAGAATCTAGATTTATTTAATACAGAATTCCAAAGAATGAATTTTATCTTTTATGACAAAATCCTATGACTTTCATTTATCATTTTAATAATTTCTCACAATATCAAAATCTCTATAAGTGGAATCTAAATTTATACAATCGACTTCCTTTTTGGATTATGAAGTTAGTTGGGTGGATAAAGAAAGTGATTAATTTTTTCAAAATGATCCATTCCTATTTTGGTTAATTTTCGAACTACCACATCTATCTCTAAGTCTGCTTTTTTTAGACCTTTCAGGTTGCCATTCTCAACTAGTTTTCGCATTCACGTTGATACAATTTAGGATCTTATCCTGTTGAATATCCAACACCGAGTCATTGATATTCTTTTCAATATTTTCACTTGAAGAGTTCTCTTAAAAAATTAAGCTCCTCTATCTAAACCTGAGATGACAAGGTTTATACTTCAATAATTTCTCTGGATCTCTAGATATTATAGCATCTTACACCGAATTAATTCTAAATATTTTAACTTTTCATTAAAAGATTTTCAACCTTAATTATTAACGCAAATATATAAACGCAAATATAAATGGTCGATTATCAAAAAAAAAAAAAGGGGGAGTTAATGATTTTCATGCAACTTAAAACTCCTATTATAGCAATTGAAATGCAAAATATAGTTCAATTTAAAATAAAAACTTATAGAACCAAAAGGTTAAAGAGAAATTTGCAAACAAAAAATCGTTCTATTTGTATTTCTTCATTGCCAAGATTAATTTAAAAAAGAAATCATGTCTCGTAACACGATTTTAATAAAAAACGACCCATTTGTTTCATCAAATATCATAAATATTATTTGGGCGATATAATGATACTTCACAATCTCGACTCCTTCTGCAACAGGTTTCTAACGAAATTATGCATCGATAACTTTCTTCCAATAATTCATCATTCCAAAGATTTTCTCATCGTTAATAACACCTTCCTAGATACATATCAGTCTAAATAAAACATATTCCATGAATAATCTCGAATTTTTCGCCATTAAAAGGAAGCTCATTACTTGTTTGAGAATATAGTTGCTGCCAAAGTATCCAATCCCGAACTTTATCACATATACAGTATAATATGGGCAACAAGCAATTGCTGGCCGATAGGTGGTTACATAGCTATGTGTAATGTAGCAAAATACTTACATTTGATATAAGGAAGCCAGGCAAAACACTGAGGTTTTGATAGCTGATAGGTGGCAAAAATGAAATTTAAATCGTCTAGCCAAAATTTTTTTAAAGGCAAAATACGCGAAAGTTTCGATGGTTGGCAAAATTTCGGCGGGTGGCATAGTTTCGACAGCATACCTTTCGATTGGTAGAAAACCCACCAAAATCTTTAAAAGTAATTTCAATTACCTTCAATATAGAATACATTATAATACAACATTTTGGAAGTCTGGAAAGTTTTCTTGTCCGAAATTTAAATTCTTCTTATGGATATATTTGATAATAGAAATATTTTAATGACCAAGCTTTTGAAATATGAAGTTACTTTTAAACATGTTAATAAAAAAGTAAGTATTGCTAGGAAATGGAAACCCGTAAACAGAAACTGGTTTAAGTAATGAGGAAGTAATTTGACAGCCACTAGCATTCAACCATATAGTCGATGATAGCTGGGTGCCCTATATTATCCTAATGAATGAAATTCTAACCAATTGATCTCAGTTCTTAAAAAATGATGTTTGATGAGAAATATGAAATTTTACCCCATATTGTTTATAGACTTTCTCGACTTTCTCAAAGTAATTCGCAATAAAAATTAAAATTTTAGCAAATAGATAATCAATTCTTCATAACTGGCTGAATTTGATTTTACAGACCTGTATGAGCGCTTACAAATATTTAACGAAATACTTATAACTTAGATCTTTGAAATATATTAGAGATAAGATACTTATTATATTTAATTTCGTTCGAACATATCGAATTCTTGGTTTATTATCACATGACAAAGTGAAGATCAGGTTAAAATGTGGCACATGAAATTTTCCATATGTGACACACTGGAACTATTGGCGTGTAACAAAAATAAATGTTAACTTGTAATACGATAGAATGATTGATATTTATTGTAAATAAAATTTCCACACGGAAATAAAGAGTCGGATCCAAATTCCGAGATAGCGATAAAATTTTTTTATTCATCAAAAAAAAATCTGGTTGGCTTTTCCGATTATAAATGCAACGAGCTTACTCGTCATTTATTATTTCATGCGCCTAATGTGAAAATGATCAAACGTTTCACTGTTTTTTTTCTGTCAGATAAAATTTTTCTTATCACTAAAAGATTATACATATATGACTTCAGTTAACACGCATTTAGTAATTAATGGTTACCTCTTTGTTTATGTTTTGCTGTTACGAAAATGAAAGTTAAAATTAGGTAGATCGACCTTTCAAATTTGACTTAAATTAACTTAGTGTTTTATGCATGTTATGCATGGAAAAGCCCTGCAGAAGCAGGCGCATATATTAATTTTTCATACTTCAATAGAACGTGTTCAAATAACTAACTTTGATTGGGATATGCTTAATAAATTTTTCACATCTTTTTTTTATTCCCCCAAAAATAAAAATATATTACCTAAAAAAAAAAATTTCTTTTGCAAAAAAAAAAAAAAAAATTTTTCTTCCACAAAATTAAAATTCACCACAAGAAAAAAAGAAAATACAATAATTATTATCCTCTATCAACTCGTTAAAATCCCTCCTATATGACGGATAAACTTTATCCCGAAGAAGAATGGCAACAAAAATTACCTTCTTATAATATTATTAATTTAATGGAGGAGAATGAGCTTAACTCATTCTCAAGAATTTGTAGCCGTAAATGTTACAACAATAGGGGAGGATATTTTTCGGGGAATACTCTCCTGAAGAATGGTTCCTAACTTCAGGAAGGTCCTGAAGCAAATATCCAACGTGCTCCGGGCTTCAGGAATTAGGCCTCCAATTCCTGAAGCAAATATCCAAAGTTCTCCGGTCTTCAGGAGGAACGCCTCCTGAAGCAAATATCTAACGCTTATCCGTAATTTTTTGGTCGACCGCCCGGGCAGTACACGGGTTACTTTAGGAGCAGGCATCCTGAAATAAATAACCATTATCGCCGTGGTGGTTCCCAAAGCAAATATCCATTGCTTCATTATTTAGTTTATTATTATAGTTTTTATTATATAGTCTATTGTTATTTCATTTTCAATAAATGTATTGCATAATTAAAATAATTGTAAAAAAATAATAAAATGGTCTAAAAATTTTAACTTTTCGATTGAACAATTCCGCATAAACAAAAACTAAAAAAAAAAATGTTAAAAATACAGGCGTTCTTGTGAGTCACGTGACTGGTCTTGATTATTTTGTCTTTTTTTTTTGGCTCGTCACTGATTGCCAGTATTACTCTGGCCAATCAAAATGATTTTATGATTTGAAACATAAATTCATTCTGATTGGTTAAAACATAATTTTAATTTCATTGGCGATTTGTGATTTGTAAAATTTTTTCGCGCAGAATTTACGAACGAGTTCGCTAATAAATAAAATAACCCGTTTCTTGTCATCTTTCGAAATTCTAGTTTTAACATCTTTTTTTTTTGTTAAAAAATCCGTTTATCAGTTTCTTTGTTAAATTATTTGTAAAAAAATTTCCATTCCTTATAAAAAAAAAACTGTTTTCGTATAGGTAAATGAATAAGTTCTTTGCATAAAAATACTTGTTAGAATTAATGATAAATTAATGAATCATTCTTTTTTTAGTGACAGCTAATTTTTTTTTCCAAATTTTATAAGGTATGTATTAATTTAAATATAAATACAATATTGTTAAGTTTTTGCATTTAATCTAATAAATAAACATAAACCGATTAAGATATTCACAACTACAGGCTAATATTGTTGATATTGGATCAAAAAAGATATTAGAGGCATGTAAGGGTAATGGAATCCTATCAAAAAATACTTTTGAGTGGTATTATCCGCCAAATACTTCACATCGATCACTTATTCCTAATCCAGAAGATGATTACATTTTACCAATTTTTTTTTGGCGACCTGAAAAATTCTATAATTGCTATGTTCCTACAATACCTTGTGCAACTGATTCTTGTTCTGGAACTCCTAAATCAAAAGGTTGGGCTGATGAAGGAGCACGATTAATTTATGGGCTAAATCAAAATGTTTTACTTCGTAGTTGGAGTTATAGTTGTGAAAAATGTAAAATAAGTTTTTACGCACATGATGAAAGAATTTTACAAAAACTACCAGATCATGTTCGCTTAGGTAATTATATATTATATATTATTTATTTTTGAATATAATAATTTACTAAATTTCTATTCTTTAATGTTAGCTTTTCCATTTTATATGTTGTCAAAATCAGGATTTACATTAGAATTAGTTAATGAAATGATGTCAGTTATTCCAGATATTGGGAAATTTGCACAAAAAATACAAGAAAATCATATGAAACGATATTTAAGATTACAACAACGTTATTATGAACATTGTTATCAATATCAAAATAAAAATTCATTATCAACAATTGATAATTACTTTTCTTCAAATATACAAAATGATCTACAAAAATTTTCTGAGTTTGAAGATTCTGAAAAATATCAAGGAAGTTGTCCTTCATCAACTTTAATTCGAGAGTGCTTTTTAGAATATTTTGAAAATAATATGGAAGAATTTTGTGACAAATGGATGCGTTCACTTTCTGTTTAAGTTTTATCTTCTGACCATATATTTAAAATTGTTTCATTTGTTTGAAGTTTAAAAAATCAACCATTTGGGGCATTTTGGGCAGTTTTAAATGAATTTCATGAAGTAATCACAATGTTATTTGTTAAGGATGAATCAAACAATTGTATTAAACCTCTTCTTGATGGTTTGAAAAAGCGATATGATGAATTAAAAAAGAGAATCCTTGGGCTTGGTATTCTGATTAATGCTGTACAGATAGAAATTAATTAATTCTGTATTTCAAAATACAGTGGTAAAAAAAGATTTATTTTATTTTCTTGATTTATATTCTTTATATTAATTGAAAACAAATTAAGAATTTTTCATTTGAATCTCAAATATTTTCTGACAAAATCTTTCAAATTTTAGTTTTTCAAATGTTCTATCAAATGAAAATTTTGGCTTTTTACCAGAAGATAAAGAAAAATATTGGAAAAATAGTAATTCAAAAGATATTTCTTCAGATATAATAATTTCTAATGTAAATGAAGAAGATGATGATAATGAAAATACAGTAGAATTTATATCTTCTATTTTAGATGATCAACTTAATTTAAATGATAAATTAACAAGTAAGTATATTATTATTAAATATTAATATAAATTTTTTATTTTAAAAAAACAAAAAAATAATTTTTTTAATTTTTTAATTATTAAATTTAGCTTCTTATCAAACATCCTCAAGTTTTTTATTAAACAAAACAAAAACTTATCCATGTACAAAAGAATTTAATAATATTGAACATATAATGTTCAAAGATTTTTATAAAAAAAATCTTTTAAATATTAATCAAATTGATAGGGTTAATCTTTATAATTATTGGGAAAAAATAGCTGATAAAAATGCTGAAGCTAATTTAACTAATAAAATTCGACCAAAATTATTAGAACATCTTATTTACGAAAAAAAATTGAAAATAATGGTAAATAAGTTTTTTATTATGAATATATTATTATTTCAATTATTTTATTCAATAATATTTATTGGTACATTATCATCAATGTCATGTACTGTATATATTTAATTAATTAAATAATTAAATTTTCTAATTTATAAATGATTAATTAATATTAAATTATTTATTAATAGTTTCTATACTCTCTGATAATAATTTGGTAATATTATCATCAACGCTAAGTATAGGTATTTTATGGTTATACTAAGATTTCCCGAAAGCTAATTTCCCGAATATACCTTTCCTGAAGTCATATTTCCAGAACGCTAATTTCCCGAATGGGATATTTTACTGAAATATCCAATTACCCGAATGCCAATTTCCTGAAACCCAATTTTCCGAATTACATGAAACATCCATTTTCCAGAACATCTAATTTTCGAATTCTGATATCCCGAATATCACAGTATACCGAATCCCAATATCCCGAATGTCCATATTCTAGAATCCCTATATCCCGAATGGTCTTGAACGTTGCCTTAGTATGTAATCATCCATGTCCAAAATTTTTATTGTAATCTATTACCAAAGAGAGCTATAACTTAATTATCTTATATAATTTGCTCTATTGCTATAATATCGGAAAATTATCCATTCGGGTTATAGGGATTCAGGAAATTGTCCATTCGGGATATTTGGATTTGGAATATTGGAGTTCAAGATGTCAGAATTCGGGATTCGGGAAATTAGAATTCAGGAAAATGTCTACTCAGAAAATTGGGTTTCGGGTTGTTGGCATTCGAGAATTAAGATGTTTCGGTAAAATGTCCAGTTCGAAAAATTAGCGTTCGGGAAATTTGACTTCAGGAAAAGGTATATTTGGGAAATTAGCATTCGGAAACTTGTCTGATATGGGTATTTTTATATTTTATTTAATAATTTTATTAAATTAGTAATATATAAATTATTTTAATAGCTCCTATGCCATCTGATAATAATTTAAAAAAAGAGGTATCTTCTTTTACTCAAAATAAACTAAAATATAAGGATCCAGTTTGTCGAAGATGTGGAAAAAATCAGTCTAAAGATAAAAATAAACATCCATCAAAAAGATATTGTTCAGATAATATTTTAAGTACAAAAATTTCAATTTTATATCAAATACTTGTATTTAAACTCCATGTAGTGTGTATTGTGAAAAACAAATAACTATTAATAATTTAAATTTATAATAATAATAATATTTTACTATTATACTGACATTAAAAAAATTCTTAATTTTATTATTTTTTAAAGAATATTATTTAATAAATTCCAAATTAATTGTACATTTTGATTATTATAATTCCAAATGTATAAATTACAAATATATTATATTAATATTTATATATTTGAATTATTATAATTCTAATTATTTTAAATTCAACATTTATTATTAAATTATAATCAAATTAACTAAAAAGTTTATTTAATATAATATAACTCTTTTTCTTCTCTTTTACCTTTAAAATAACTTTTAAATCATATGATTATTCAATTTAGCCAATTAGTTTATTTAGTGAATGTATTACCTGTAAGGTTATGTAAAATAAGATAAAATATTATAATATACCTATTTTGGATTAACTCCTTAATCTGATTATACTGAAATAGTATATTTAGTAACATATGCATTGCAAAAAATAAATATACGCGATTTCTAATTTTTAATAATATAATGCTTCGCGACTTCTAATTTTTAAGAATATAACGCGTCTTTTTTTTTATAAAAAGACTAAAAAATAGGTTAGATATGTATATTTTTTTTGTCAAATACCTAATTCTTTACTTATCCATACATTATGTCTACTTCTACTATAAACTATTCTACTTCAACTGAAAACTGGAATACTGAAACTCTTATTACTTTTTTACGTGAACAGAACTTAAATCTTGGCGAAGATGACTTTGAAATTCTTCGAATACAAAAGATTGATGGTCAAATATTTTCAGAAATGACAGAAAAAAAATTTATAAAGGATGGCATGAAACGAGGACCTGCTACAAAGCTTGACAAGCAAGCTAAAACGTTTAAAAAACAAATGAAAGTTCCTAACAAAGGCAAAATTGAATACTTTTGGCTCTTTTCATATAATACATGGTCGATTCAACATTTTATTTCCTGGTCCACTAGTATGTTTGGATCTATTCAAAAGAACGAAACACATACAGTATTTTATAATACTTTATATATTTTTCGTGATGACCCAAACACCTCATAAGAAGTCCTTCAAGCTGTTAAAAATCTTTTACATGTAAAAAAGGTAAGTATATTTTTTTATAAACCAAACACCCACCTATTTTTCAGATATGATGTATTAAATAAGCATAAAGCTTTCGCTTCGGGATATGTAAGCCTTCGGTTATTGCAGTGCTTTTAATACAATCATCCTGTTAAATGTAGTGAGATTTTTTAGCGATATTTTTTGATAAAGGTCTACTGATTCTGAAGGAAGTATTGGTTATGTACCTTCCTTTGGATAAAAATATACTAAGTATTTTCCGATGTTCCGGATATATTGGCTAAAAAATAGTTTTTAAAATAATATCTTATTAATTGTTGAGACTTAACATTTTTCATTTTATTACCCCGATGATGATATTATATAGGCATGCCATGCAAAAAAAGTTCGCAAACCTTTAGATGAAATTTCTAATCAACAAGAAGAGGAGTTCACTTCAGTGAACTCAGATCCGTTAGTTCCTCCTACTCCTATTAATACTAAAAAACGAAATTTTTGCGAAATTTTAGATATTTCTGTAGATATTCCATTACAAAATAATGGATCTATAAACATTTTGGAAGTTTTAAAGATTACAGTTCGTGATTTTGACCAAGGTACAATAGCATTAGGTTCTTCCCGCTCATATAAAAGTTCAAATCACTTGTATGTAAATTTTGAAAACTACATTAAAGTTTCTAGAGAAAGTACATATGATGCTGAAATGTATCGAGTTTTAATGAATTGGTCAAGAAAAAATTATAATTACGAAATTACTGGACAGTGGCATCTTGAGCGGGTTTGTGATAATGGTAATTATCATCACTTATATTGTGATCTAACAATAAAGAAACCCGATAATTCTCATCCTGTAGTTCTTTTAGAACTTTTGGCAACAGCATCATTATCAAAATTAGATAATCATTTCGAACATATCATCACATATGCTGAACAACTTCTGCCTCAAGAAATTTGGATTGTACATTTCTCTCGTGAAGATTTTGTTACAATTAATCCATACTGGCCATGCGAAAAACTTCAAAAAAGGGGATTAAATGTTATTCACTTTTGGCATGATGAGGAGTTTAAAAATGTGAGGATGAGTGCAAGATGTCAAGATACCACTGGCGAGTTTTATGAAATTATAGATGAACAAATTCTTCCATAATTTATATATAAAATCAAATCTATGAAATTTAAAATTTTTTTTTATTATAAATTTAAATAAATCATACGACCATATTACTGTGCCACAAATTCTGGCATAAATTTTTGGAAAAACTAATTCTGGCAATCAGTTAGGAGCCTTTATTATTTTTTAACAATGGTCTTAGGAATCAATTTTTCACAAGATTTATGACAAAAACATAAAATACATAATATTATACTATTAAAACTGGCTAGTATTTTTTTTTGTTTCCGTACCCACCGGTGTAGGGATGCTAATGGTTACGGTCATGACCGGTCATAACCGTGACCTATATCGGTCGGTCAAAGAATTTGACCGATTTTGACCGACGAAAAAAGCTAATTCTAAAAAAGTTTATCCTTCACATTATATGGAATAACAAGAATTTAAATTATTGACATATTTCGTGATTTCTGAATAACTGAACTTTTTGGTTCATTTGGTAGCAAAATAAGAGCGTCGAACCAGGCCACAAGATCTAAACAAAAATTTAATTGCCAAAGTCCTTCTTCATCTGATACCAACTCAATCTGTACTTTTCTTGAAGGCATGGTATCTTTTAATAAAGTCTAAATATCTTTCTCTCATAAAATAAATCAAGACTGTGATAAAAAAAATACAAAGGTGTGTCTATCGATCATGATCATATGGGAGCGTTTCCAGTAAAATCACATTACGGATCATGATTTACTATGCCTCATGACTTGATTTTACTGGAAACGTTCCCATATGATATAAGACTTTGACTGGAAAATTATAATAAAATTGATGTATTTGAGGTCATTCGACAAATAAATTTATCTTCCTAAAAATAATGGAAGGATTAAAAATTTTGGTGGATTGTTATTATTTAACTTTCACTCAGAGGTAAACTTCTTTAACGATTAATCAGTAATAAAAAAAGTAAAATTTAGAACAGTAAATGGCACGTTATATTTAAAGTCTTTTCTTTGATAATAATGTATTTATAAATCTTTTATTTACCCATTAATAGGTTCTATTTTGTGATGCAATAAATAACTTCCTTTCGGATTTTCCATATGTCTCCATTTGTTGCCTATATTGGTATGAATTAAAAAACGAAATTATTTGATAACTGTCTCTACTTTATTCTGTTACATTAATATCATAATAAAACTCACAAAAGAATAAAAACATATAATATCGGAAATTTATCAATTGCGTTTCATATGTGATTTATCATTTAATATTGAATTTTCGAACTTTTAATTTATAATTCAGGCAATTCACAACAAACAATAATGCCAACTCGAGCCAGGTTCATTTAAACTCGTCTATATTTAGGCACATGTTTGATAAACCGGAATGAGTTTAACTTAAGAAAACGAAAAATGAAATCGAGAAAATCAATGAATATGGGAGTAAATATGTATTAACTCAAATTTCATTTTTCACCAATTTCAACATGGATTTAGTAAAATACAGAAAAAATCAATACTGCTTTTGTTAATTTCTTTTTACTAGTAAGAGTGCAAATGGACCTGAAAAAGGTAATTATTATTGTTAAATAATTAGGGATCGTAACACAAGCTCGGTCGCATGTTCTTCAATTTCGTATTAGATAGTTCGAATCATATAATATAATTGATTTAAAATCATTCAATACCATAATCAGTTAAATATGCGTTTTTGATTTACTAACATGTTAGTAGATAAATGATCATCAAAATAAAAGTTCACATTACATTACTTGCTCTACAAAAAGAAAAAAGAGAATAAATACAATCCATAAAATCATATTATTGTTTTGAAAAAGAGTTCGAAAAAATATACTTTGGTAGGGAAAATTTCAGATACTTTTCGTTGTTTTTTCGCGTCCCCCCTCCCCTGGCTTTAAAAAGACAAGATGAACCTAGGCTTTATCATTCGGAGCATATTTATTCATTAAATAAGCCGTAAATAATATTTCATTTCGTCATATTAAATAATTATAACACTTTACGTGGCACAATAAATCTAACCTTATCATTTATTTTAATCATTGTAAAACATTAAACACAAAATATTAGGAGAACTAATTATTATTCCTTATAATTATAATAATTAATAGTAATAATTATTCATGTGCTTAAGTAAACTTTTTGTTTTATTAAAATTTGTTTTGTCCATGACTTGTGTCATACAATGTTAATAATGGGCAAAAAAGAATTTCCCCGATTTTAATATCAATGTCAGTATCTATTAAAAGTTTTCAAAACATATAAATTAATAGTAATTTTAGTCTTTCGACCTGAGGAATACCTTTACTCTTTCTCATACGCAATGAAAAAAAAAAATAATAAGTTTCTCTTATGACTAATGACTAATTCCCGAATGCCAATATCATTTAATTTTACATTCTTCGCAAACGGCGAAAACTGATATTAGAACCTCTACAAGAATATGTTTTTACTGCACTCATTATCATGACCTTTTTGAATTTTAATCCAACAGTCGACAACGAAGAATTTGTGATGATATCACTGAGCGAAGTATTGAGTGCCAAGAAAATTTTGTACGAATTAAGATCAAAACAGATTATCTTTAATGGTTTCTTCAAGCCGACTTCAATAACCTACTTTAGTTAAATCTAAGATTTAACAACAATTACAGCACACACAACGATCATTCTTTATTCAAATGCGAGGCATGACAAGACATATTAAAATAGTTTGTCAAAAATAAATAACCGAAATATATTCGAACATTAACCTTTGTCCTGAATTGTTCGTTATTTTACATGATTTCATTACCCGCTTTCAATTAAAAAGTCACGTTATGAAATGGTGATGATACAGTATATTTATACGAATGGGTACTTGTGGCAAAATGAATGAAAACAACTAGTCATTATTTATTAACTCGTTGAGAAATTAAACTGAACAGTCGGATCATAATATTAATGTTATTTCATATTCCACTAAACTTTAATTCATTCCGATTATTTTATGAATAATTTATATTATTATTGATTTAGTTGCAAAAAAAAATATCAAAAATTCAAATCCTATGTTTTCTTGCTTATTTATGTCAATAATTAAATCAATAAATAACAAATCATAAATTATAATAGGTTTAGATATAAATGATTATTAATCTTCCATAAAATAAAAAATTTAGTTATATAATAAAGTTCCCAATATGGCCTTTAGATTTTAATTGTTAAGATTTGCCTGTCACGACATACATATAACTTAGAAGTTATTCTTTATAACGACGTGCAAGCTTTTGTTTTTGAAATTTTTTCAAAATTGAAGAATAATACGGAATAGGATATCCAGGAAGAACAATTTCGATCCCGAAAGGAATTTGCAAAGATAAAGTGTTTAGGGTCGTTAACATGCAAAGAAATCATTCAAAGAAACTTAATCAGATGATTATGTTGAATTATTCTCTAGTTAATTTCATTCATCCATTTTAAAAAAAATCGAGCTTGATATATAATTTACATAAATTAATTGACTATTAATCCATGAACTTGTTCATTACAACAACAGATTGAACTGATACAACCCGAAAAAAATACCCCACTCCCAAAAAATGTGGTGGATGAATTAAGGTAAAATTAAGATTGATAATACGATATAAACTCTAGCTTTATCGCAACGTAATTTTATATTTTTAATTTATCAAAAGTTATTTCTCAGTCTTTTTACGTGTTTAAGTTAAATAATAACCGAAACAAAAAGCCAGAAAAGAAAATAAGGATGCTTTTATTAATTTTAAAACTTATAAATAAAATAATTATAAATTTAAAACTACCTTTTGATATTACTTCTAACACAACAAAATTCATAACGATAAGTTATATCGTCAAGAAAAATCTAATGAATATTCTACCTTTTAAGTTCATAATTATTTTTATTTCTTTTTTACTAATACAATTTTCATTAATAATGTTAAGCAACTTTCATTACATTTCTTTTATTGTTGAAAAGTATTGAGTAAATAACATTCATGAATTACAGTCAACTCCCGGTATTTGGAACCAAATAAATTGGCGTGATTCTAAAATTATATATGATGTGACTATAAAGAGGATTTGTTAATGTTAATTAATAACTTTAGGCTAAGTAAAAAGTGCTTATAAGAGGTTAGAGGGTCGAATATGTAATGGAGTAAATATTACGTATTATATTTGTGTTTTAATTATTAATTTGCGAAAAGTTATTTCAAAGTATATAAAGAGTTTAGCGTTAGTATTGCTTTTTTTTATAATTCTTGCTTATTTATATATTCTTCATAACATAACATAATTGATCGATTAAAGAAGTCTACTGTATATATATATATTTCAATTATTGTTTATATATAATAAATGTTTTTTAAAAGAAAATTATGGAAGATTTGCTATTATAATTCATGTTCAGAACATATGATTTACTATGTCTCATAACCTGATTTTAATAGCTAACGACTCACATGTATATAGTGAAATTTATTAAGAAATAAGTTCAAACTTCAAATTAGAAATGATATAAAAGTTTTTTTATAAAATCAAATCAATTTAGCTTATAGGCAGGATTCTGAGAATCTCTCAAACACAGGCATGTTTCGGCAGATTGACCATTTTTAGAGAATAAAAATCAGTTTTTTGCTTTGTAATCTTCCCAAATACCAATTTTCGGTTATTGAGCTATTCGTAAAAATGAAAATATGAGTTTCAGCAAATTGAATCATTTTTTTGGAAAAATCCATGACCTATCGGTGATCCTAAATAGGCGTATATTAATTTTACTAAAATAATAATTTACTACCAAAGAAGGAAAGTTTGATGAAAGAAAATACATTAAAAAATTTGTCTCTATATTTAAATTTATTGCATTAATTCAAAATATAACAGAAAAAATTAAGTATAATTTCAGCTACAAATTTGTTGATGATACTTAAAAGGATAAAAATTATGCAATTTAATAATTAGAATCAAATGTGCTCATATCCTAATAAGGTTAAAGGTAATCTAAAAAGTTCACTGTTTAGACAATGATTAGATAAGATTTTATTGAGTCTTTAAAGTTTTAGGTATTAACGAATCGGGTATATTTGGTAAGCTAGCTATTGTAGTATTGAAACAGTCAAGATAAGTTAAGGAGTTGGGCAAAGTTGGTTAATGGAGTATTGTAGCAATGAATTTTAGTTAAGGAGTTGGGCAAAGTTGGTAGGATTGTTATTGGATTATGAGAGCAATAAAGTTCCATTAAGGAGTCGGGTAAAGCTGGTAGTCTTGTTATTAGCGTATGAGAGCAAAAAGCTTCGTTAAGGCGTTGGGCAAATTTGGTAAGCTAGCTATTGGAGTATTGTCACAGTCAAGATAAGTTAAAGTGTTTGGTAAAGTCGGTAAGCTACTAATTTGAGTATTGGAGCAATAAAGTTCTGTTAAGAAGTCTGGTAAAGTTTGTAGGATAGTTATTAATGTATTAGAACAATTAAGTACCATTAAGGAGTTGGGTAAAGTTGGTAGGATAGTTATTGGAGTATTATAGCAAAATATTTCAGTTAAGGAGTTTGGTAAAGTCGGTAGGAATGTTATTGAAGTTATGTAGCAATGAAGTTCCATTAAGGAGTCGGGTAAATTTGGTAGAATAGTTATTAGAGTGAAAGAGCAATTAAAGAGTTAGGTAAAGTTGGTAGAATAGTAATTTCATTATTAGAGCAATCTAGTTCCGTTAAGGAGTTGGGTAACGTTGGTAGGATAGTTATTTTAGCGTTATAACACAGGAGTTTTGTTAAGGAATTGGGTAAAGTAGGAAGGATAGTTATTGGAGTAATGGAACATAAAAGTTCTGTTAAGGAGTTAGGTAAAGTTGGCAGGAAAGTTATTCGAGTATTATTACAATTGAGCACAACTAAGGAGTTGGGTAAGGTTGGTAAGATGATTATCGAAGTATCCGAGCAATAAAGTTTCATCAAGGAATTGGGTAAGGTTGGTAAGCTAGAAATTTGAGAAAGATTGCAATAGAGTTTCGTCAATTTCCGATATCTTAGTAATCTACCCGAGATATTTAATATGTCACCTTTATTAGTGTCAGTAAGAGTTAAACTATCAAAGGTATCATCATAAATTATTAATTCAAGATTTATTATTCTTTCTTCTAATTCATTAATAATTTTTTGCTTATCTTTGAATACTTCTTCTCGCTCTCTATCCTTTTTTTCTAAATTATTAATAATTACTTGATTGGCTCTGGTTTCTGCCTCTCGCTCTCTAATCTTTTCTTCTAAATTTTTGAAATGTGAACGTAATCCCTCATTACTTTGCTCTAATTCCTCGACTCTTTTTTCCAAGTTTTTTAGGGTTTTTTCTAAATTGTTCTTTAAAACCATTTTTGATTAAAGATTTTTTCTAATTTTAATTTAATTTGTTCCGATGTTTATTTAATGAGCACTGCATAGAAAATTACCAATTTTACTCAGCCCTCGGTTATATTTTTCCCATATTTAATACTTTTCACAAATTCTCTAGTATAACTTAAAAAGGATCGATCTACCAATTCTAAGTTAGATCGTCTTACCAAAAGTTAAAATTTTTATGATCTCTAACTATGGGTTATTGGGAACCTTTCAACAAAAAATTAGATTTTTTGATTCATATTATAGTATATTATATGAACTTTATTTGGTTAGACTTTTAGAGGATATTAGCTTAATAATAAAGTAATGCAAGAAATTATGGCCGGCTTAGATTTTATAGAAATGATCGACGTAAATTTTAGCAAAATCTCAAGTATTACGAAATTGATGTAACAATATTTTTGTGATATTTTATAGTTACATTATTTTTAAAACAAATTTATATTTATAAAAATAATTATTATAATAAAATGTTATATATATTGCATCACCTAATTAATTGATTTGATTCAATATATTTTTAATGCAATTATTTATTAGCTAGTTATGTATGTTTATTGTAGCATAACATTTTTTTGATTATCAATTACTCAAAAATCAATTTACTAATCTCATAACACACTTTTAATAGCTCAGCTTCCATATCTTATTTTTTTTTAGCCATTTACAACAGTTTAGTTAAAAAAATGTAACTAAAAAATAAAATAATAATTAATTAAAAAAAAATTCCAAGAAGTGATACTAGCAAATTTGAATATTATAAAAGATTATTTCATAATTTAATTGACTTTAATGATGAGTTAATATTGATTTACAACCACAAGTTATCTTAACTGATTTTAAAAAAGCTGTAATTAATATAATTCATGAAGAATTTCAAGTTAAAATAAAGGATATCATTTTTATTTGTCTTAAAATATTTATCATAAAGTGTAAAGTCTTGGCCTTACTATTCAATATGAAACTAATGAAAATTTTAGTTAATTAATTAGACATATACATCTAAATAAAATTTCAAATGCATTTGATGAATTGAGAATTAATATGCTAGAAGAAGCAAATGATATTATGGATTGGTTTGAAATTTATTATGTTTGCAATAGATTAAGACAAATAACAAAAAGTGAAAATATTAGTAAGAAAGAACTCACTCTCTTTAATCAGTTGTTAATAATATTGAGTATGCATTTTATAGAATTCAAAATTCTATTGAAGCTTAGCATAAAAGATGGGAAATATTAGTAGGTCATGCACATGTAAATGTATTTAAAATTATTAATGAAATACAAAAAGAATAAAACTAAGTTCAACTCAATATAGAATGAAGTTTGTGAGAAATGCTATAATTTTCACAAAAATGAAAAAAGCATGAAAATCAAATTCAAAAAGTATATAATAATCATGAAAATAAGATACTTATAGATTTTTTACAAGAAATTGCTCACAATTTTTTATTTTAAATAATTTTAAATAGTTTGTATTAAAGTCTAATTATTTTATATACTTTATTAATTTTACATAATTAATTTAATTAATATATTTATGAGTAATTAATAAATAAATAAAATTAGAATCAAATAATCTTTGAAAAATATAAAATATAGCATTTATTGTAAAGTTTTTAATTTTAAAATTTTTTTGGAAATAATCATCGGTAAAATAATTATCAGTAAAATGAACATGATAGCAAAATAATCATATCAGGAAAATGACTGTTGGTAGAATGGTTGTTAATAAAATAAACTTGTTTATGATATGTTGTTAGTGATAGTCTAGTTATGACGCATTAATATTGCATCAATTATAATTAGCGAATAATGATCCCATCGATCATGGATCTCAACTTTCTCTAATTTCTATCATTTCTTTAATTTCTTAGCGATCTTAGCAATCTATAATTTCTTATATATCTTATATATCTTTAATTTCTTATTTATATTATATTTCTTATTTATCTTTACTATATT